CGTACACGTGTAGAGGCACAGACGAATAATTAAAAAAAAAAAAAATCGCAGCGAGAGAAGGAACCCGAGTACTCATTAGGAAACCAGGATGAAAATATTTCTTCACTCAAGGCCGGCTACTTGAGCCAAATTTTTATTTTTATTTTTTTTTTTTCTTATTATAACTTCCAATTGTCTTTTCGTCGTCGCCAATTTTTTTACATTTTTTTTTTCTTCTTATAACTTCAATTGTCTTTTCGTCGCCAATTTTTTATACATTATTTTTTTTTCTTCTTATAACTTCAATTGTCTTTTCGTTATTTACGTTATGATAATGATGATGATAAATGATAATAATTTTATAGAATAATTCCTTTTAGGTTTCGATGGGTCAAGATGTCTGTGAAGAAAATATTTTTAACTGTATTTTCCATCAAGTGTTATTCTTCTTAATGATCTTCATTACTTATTTTGAAGGTGAGGAAGATGATAATTAAATATAATTATTTCCTTTAAACTGCACCGTGTTCGTATGTCATGCATTTTTTTATTTTTTATTTTTTTATTTATTTTTTGTTATTTTTAGCTTTAACTGTATTTTCATCCTGTGTGTATTTTTTGTTGATGTTCTTCTCATTATCACTTGTTATGTGATGATGATAACGATGATAACAACTCTAGAACAATTTCCTTCAAGCTGAAACGCAGAACATATTCTTATTTATTATTTTCTCGTAAATTTATACGCATTTTCGACATGTGTTATTATAATTTGTCGCATATTAAAGCTTCTCAGTTCCATTTTTCCTCTATTTCCCCTTTCCATATCCGAAGTAATTAATTCCGCATCGTTTAATATTCGTTTTAATTATCGGATTTTTGTCGTTCTCTCTTTCTTTGTCCCTTTTTTTCGGTCCTTTCGTCTCTTTGTCTTGTATATTTTCCCCTTGTTTCATCTCACTAACTCTCGAAAAATTGAAGTTAAAATTCCACTTGAACTCAGACCGCACCAATAACGCACGCAAGGCACAACAATGCACATGGTACACGGACCACCAGCAGACTGAGAGGCAGACACAGACAGGGAGACAAACAGATAACCAGACAAACAGAACAGACACCACAATCGGGAACAGAACTAGAGGGCAGTAAACAGACACTAAGTGGGAACATAGAGCGATAGGCAGCCGTCACTATGTCGGTACCTGGGCACACACCAGTAGCTATCACATAAACAGGCAATAATACAACACACGAGGTTGGGGTTTGATTACACATACACAAACAAACTGACGATTACTTACCCCATTTACCACGCATCGGGCTAATTCCCTAGCCTATCGTTATTTACTAAAAACGCTAAGCTCAACGTGTGAGAAGACACCGTCACACCTGCCCATATTTCTCGACCCTNGAGAGGTGAGAGAGAGAGAGAGAAGGAGAGGGAGAGAGAGAAGAGGAGAGAAAGACCTGAGAGAGCAGAGTGCAGATTTAGCGAGAACGAGGGAGAGCAGAGAGAGGAGGAGGAAGAGAGGAGAAGAGATTGAGCTGGAGAGAGAGAGCCCGGTAATAGGAAGAGAGAGAAGAGAGAGAGAAGAGAAGAGAGGAGGAGCGAGAGAGCGAGAAGCACAAGAAATGAGAATGAATAATGAGAAATAAAAAAGGGAGGTACATGAAAACTAGAAAGTGGGAAAGGGAGAAAGGAAAAAGAGACGTAAATAAGGGGAAGGAACAGGAGAACAAGAAAAGATCGGAGAGGGAGAGAGGAATAGAAAATAAGACAAGGGAAAAAGTTGAAAAAAAGTCTATAGAGAGGAAGAAAAGAAGAAGAAAGACGAAGAGGAAAAATGAAGAACGATCCGCACGCGCCAAAAGGAAGTGAAAGAAGAGAAGGAAAACGGAAGGGAGAGGAAAGAAGGAGGAAGCAAGAAGAAAGAAAACGAAGGGGAGCAGAAAGGAAGGGAAAGCGAAGGAAGAAACAAGATAAAGAAAACGAAGGAAGAAGAGAAAATGAAGAAGAAGAATAGAGAAGAACAAGAACCATAAGAACAAGACGAAGGGAGAAGAAAGAAAGGACAAAGAATAGATAAAATAAAAAGTGGAAGCACGAAGAATGAGAGGAGGGTAGGAAGAGGTAATCGGCCGGCAGTCCGGTCGACCTCCAAGCCTCCTCCAATAAATCTCCGCCATATCCCTCCTCCCTTCTGCCTCCTCACTCTTATTCCTTTCTCCCTGATGGGTCGACATCCTGATAGATTGCCTTTTGCTCTCCAACGACGACAAAAGGAACTCCGATCACATCGTCTATCCGCCGGCGGGTCGTTACGGGCGTCGTCGCCGGGGGTTAGTCAAGGGCGGACAGGATGGGGGCTGGTTTCTCTTGGTCGGGGTTTTGTCTCCCTACGGGCGGTGCTTATAAGCAGAGTGTTCGCTTGGGGTCACTTGGCGGGAGTCCATCTTGGGAGCGAGAGTTGAGTATTAGCTTTACATTGCACGCCGGGGCTTGGTCTGGTCGCTGAAGTCCACACACACTGTCAACGTCTCCTGGTTGTATTGGGGGTGACAAGGTCGCTGCCTGGTGTTGATTGGGTTGCCTGCCGGGTCGTCGCGCGGTTCCGCCTGTGGGGTCGCATTGCGGGGTGGACTTAGGGAGGGGGGTCAACTTGGAAAGTCGCTTGGGGGCCGTTGCATTGGGCGGGGTCCGCCATAGTGTCGCTGGGCGGGTGCCTTAGGGTTCTGGCTTGGGGTCGCTTTGGGGGGTCACCTGGGGTGCTCTCGGGGAGTATTTGGTATGTTGTGTTGTGCCGTCGTCGGGAAGTTTGCCTTGGGGTAGATACGCCGCGGGGAGCTCCGTAGCCTCCTTCTCCCCTCCCTGGCTATTCTTGATATGCTAGTCACCCCGCTCTATCTTCACTTTGTGCTGCTTTCCTGGCCTCCCGCCTGTCCCTCTTTTCTCACCTTCTTTTCTCCCTCGTCCCACCCTCTCCTCACGCCCTTCCCTCCCTCTCTTTCCCTCCCCCATCTCCCTCTATCCTCCCAGTTCCCTCAACCCTTCCCCCTCTCCCTCCCTTTCTCCCTCTCCTCCTTTCCCCCCTCATCTCCTCCTCCCCGCACCCCTTCTCTCTCTCCCTCTCCTCCCTCCCCTCTCCCGCCACTCCCCTCCATCTCCACCTTGCCCCTGCCCCCTTCTCGCCTCTCTCCTCCATCCCCTCCCCTCTCCCCTCCGATCTCCTCCTATCTTTCCCTCACCTTCCCTCTCTCCCTCTCTTCCTTCTCCCCTCTCCCTCTCCCTCTCTCGTGCGCCCTTTCCCCTCCCCCTCCCCTTCCCTCTCCCTCCCCTCTCCCTCTCGCCTCCCCTCCCCTCCCCTCTCCTACTCCACTCTCCTCCCCCACTCCCTCTCCCTCCCCTTCCCCACCCCGCATTTTTCTAATCATCCCCCCTCCATTTTTACTTTGGTTATCTCGACAAAATTTCCCCAAACACAACCTCCCCGCCCTCCCCCTCACCACCTCCCGCCCCCCCCCCTCCCCCCCCCGCCCACCCCCCCCCCCCCACCCCCCTCTCCAACCCTCCCCCGCCCCCTCCGCCCCCTGCCCGCCTGACCTAATCCGTACCGTGTGCAGTCTTGTTCTCTTTTCTCGTTCCGCGTCTTCAATTTAACTTTCTTCTTTCTTCTCCTATTTCTTTACGTTCTGCCTTCGTCGTTGCCTCTCTTCTTTTTCTTTGTTTTCTCTTTGTTTTTTTTTTTCTCCTCTCTCTCATTCCTCCCTTTTCGCTTTTCTCTCTCTTCTAGTATACTTTCTTTCTTATGTATTTCTTCTGATTCTCTCTCTCTCTCTCCTTTCTCTCTCTCCCTTTCTCCTCTCTCTCTCTCTCTCTCTCTGCTCTCTCTCTCTCTCTCTCTCTCTCTCTCTCTCTCTCTCTCTCTCTCTCTCTCTCTCTCTCTCTCTCTCTTCCTCCTCTCTCTCTCTCTCTCTCTCTCTCCTCTTCTCTCTCTCTCTCTCTCTTCTCTCTCTCTCTCTCTCTCTCTCTCTCTCTCTCTCTCTCTCTCTCTCTCTCTCTTCTCTCTCTTCTCTCTTCCTCTCTCCCCTCTCATCATACCTCTCTCCCTTTCCCCTCTTTTTGCACCTCATCTTCCTCTCATCCGCATGTTCTCATCCACCTCTCCTTTCCCTTGTCTCTTCCCCTTCTCCCCAATCCCCCTCTTTCCCCTCTTTCTCTCTTCCTCCTCCGTTTTCCCTCATTCGTAACCCTCCAATTGCCCAATACCCAGCCCCTCCCACTCCCCCCTCCCCCCTCCCCTGACCCTTCTCCTTTCCCTTCATTCCCCACCTCATATCCTCTTCGTCTTCCTTGATATCCTTCCCTCTCCCCTCATCCCCCCCTCTCTCTCTCTCCCTCCTCCCCTCTTCTACTCGTATCCTCCGCTCTCTTCTCATACCCTTCCCTCTCCCCATGTATCTCTCTTTCTTTATCTCTTCCTCCTTCCTCTATTCTTCCTCTTCCCTCTCCTCCTTCTCACTTCCTCTCCCCTCCATTTCCCCTCCCCTGCGTTCACCACTCTCCCCTCTTTCTACCCCCTCCCTTCTCTTCTCCCATCCTCCCTCTCCCTCCTTTCCCCCCTTCCCTTCCCCTTAGCCCCCTCCCCTTCCCCTCCCCTCCTCTCCCCCTCCCCCCCCTCCCCTACCTCCCTCCCCCTTCACTCTCCTTCTCCTCCCTTCCCCATCCCCCCCCTCAATACCCCCTCCTCCCTTCCCCTTCCTTCCCCCTACCCCTCCCCTACCTCCTCTCCCTCCTCCCTCCTCCTCCCCCCTCCCCTACCCTCTCCATCCCCCCTCCCCTACCCTCCTTCCTCCCCTCCCCTCAATCTCCCCTCTAACCCCTCCTTCTTCCCCAACGACTTCGCTCCCTCTACCCCTGCCTCCGGAGAGTCTGCGGGAGCGAGCGAGGGGCGGCGCGGCGGCGGAGCGCGAGAGGGCGAGGGGGTCGAGGGGGCGGGTGATCGATAGGGAGGCACCGGATGCGACTGCGACTACCTCTGCGACGGCGGGTACGACAGCTGCAAGGGCTACGACTACTGCTACGACTGCGGATAGGACTACTGGAAAAGGTGTGATTGTGGCTGCGACGACTGCTACGACTGCGGATAGGACTACACAGCAAAGGGTGTGGTTGTGGCTACGACTCCAGCAAGGGCTACGACTCCAGCAAGGGCTACGACTGCCTCTACCTCTGCGACGGCGGCTACGACAGCTGCAAGGGCTGCGACTACTACTACGACTGCGGATTCGACTACTGCAATGGTTGTGCTTATGGCTATGACTACAACAAGGGCTACGACTATTACTACAACTGTGGATACGACTACAGCAAAGACTACTGCCATGACCATGGCTACAGCTACAGCAAAGGCTACGACTATCACTACGACCACGAATACGACTACTGCAAAGCCTGCGATTATGGCTTCGACCACAACTAAGACTACTGCTACGACCATGGCTACAACTACAGCAAAGGTTATGATGTGGACTGACACTCTATGACTGAGATCACAGATACGACTATTCTTTGACTAAGGCTACAATTATGACCACATATATAATTACAACGAAAGCTTCGACTATAACTACAACTATGGCTACAACGGAGATGACTACAAACAAGAACGACTACAAGTACGACTGCCTTTACGAGTACAGCTAAGGCTTCAGTTACGTCTACAGCTACGACTATGGATATGACTACATGGGCGCCACGACTACAGCAAAGACTACGACTATCGCTACGACTACAGGTCCGATTCTAGCTAACGGAACTACAACAGCGGTTACAACTACAGCTTAGGCTACGACCACAACTACGATTTCGACTATGACTACAACCACTGCTGCGACTACAACTACTAGTACGACCACAACTGCTACTATGCCATAATAGTAATTATGATTAGATAAAGGATAATCACAATAATGAAGAAGGAAATGCGATAATGAGAAAGAAAAAAAACGAAGAAAATAAACGATAAGGAAAATAAGAATAGAAACAGATAAAAAGAAAGAAAGAGAGATGGGAAAAGAATAGACAAAGACTGACAGAAAGCCAAAGAAAGAGAGATGGGAGAGAACAGACAAAGACAGACAGAAAGACAGACAGACAGACACACAAAAAGACTAATATATCTGATTCGATGCTCATTAAAAGACAATTTTGAGGGCTGCATTTTCATTATCTCATTAGGAAAGGATTTGAAGCCAAAAGCAATTTATTGAAGCATTAGAAAACGGGGTGACCAGCTGACACCACTGGATATTTTTTCATATTTATATTTTGTGTCGATTTTTTTTTTTGTTTTGTTAGTTTTGTTTTTTCTAACTTTTTTTCACTTGTCATTTTTTTTTTTTGATTCATATCTTTGTTCTTCTCTCTCTCTCTTCTCTCTCTCTCTCTCTCTCTCTCTCTTTCTTCTCTCTTCTCTCTTCTTCTTTCTCTCCTCTTCTCTCTCTCTCTCTCTCTCTCTCTCTCTCTCTCTCTCTCTCTCTTCTCTCTCTCTCTCTCTCTCTCTCTCTCTCTCTCCTCTCTCTCTCTCTCTCTCGTCTTCTCTCTCTCCTCTCTCTCTCTCTCTCTCTCTCTCCTCTCTCTCTCTCTCTCTCTCTCTCTCTCTCTCCTCCCCCTCTCCTCCTCTCATCTCCCTCCTCCTCCCTCCCTCCTCTCCTCCTCCTCCCCCGCCCTCTCTTCCTCTCTCCCTCATTCACCGCCATCAATATACATAGCCATAAACACACACACACACACACGCAACACGCACACACACACGCACACGCACACGCACACACGCACACACACACAGCACACACACACACACCTCTCACCCTCTCCCTCGCCTCGCTTTGATCTCCGTCCCCGTGCATGTTCAGAAAAAGCGGATCCAAAAGTGAACACGATCGCCGCCAGATAGCTGTGCATTAACGTTCAAGTCTTGTTCAAGCCAATTAATATTCTTTCCTTGGCGAACAGCTGATTATGGCCGTCGCTTCCCTGGATAATGTAATTCCTTGCTTGGCTCTTTCATCTCTCTCTCTCCCTCCCTCTCTCTCTCTTGTCTCTCTCTCTCTCTCTTCCCTTTTCTCTGGCTTGTTTGCTCTCTCTCTTTCTCTCGTGTCTCTCTTCCTTTTTGTCTCTGTCTCTCTCTCTTTTGGCTCTCTCTCTCTCTGTCTCTCTCTTCTCTCTCTCTCTCTCTCTCTCTCTCTCTCTCTCTCTCTCTCTCTCTCTCTCTCTCTCTCTCTCTCTCTCTACTCTCTCACTCTCTATCTATCTATCTATCTATATATATATATCATATCTATTATCTATTCATATGTCAATATCTGTATATCTTTCTACTAATTTACCTTTCCTTATTTACACAAAAAATCATTCTTTATCTCTCTGTCTCTCTCTATATATATCTGTCACTCTCACTCCCACTCTCCTCTCTCTCTCTTCTCTCTCTCTTCTCTCCTCTCTCCTCTCTCTCTCTCTCTCTCTCTCTCTCTCTCTCTCTCTCTCTCTCTCTCTCTCTGATTCCCCTAACTCATTTTCTTCCGATAATCTTATCATATATCTGAGAGTACCTTACTTTATTATTGGCAAAAGTTAATTAAATAGGCTTAACGTCGTTTTCGTCTTACTTCCGGGTCGTGTAATTGAGTCACAGGCGTTTTGCTCCTTTATCCGGGTTGTGTAAGGGTGTTGTGGCACTGGGTTGTGTAAAGGTGGTGTTGTTTTGTTCTCCGGGTTGTGTAAAGGTGTTGTTTTGTTCTCCGGGTTGTGTAAAGGTGTTGTTTTGTTCTCCGGGTTGTGTAAAGGTGTTGTTTTGTTCTCCGGGTTGTGTAAAGGTGTTGTTATTTCGTTTCAGGGTTGTGTAATGTAGTTCTAGCTGTGGTACCATTGTTATATTGTTATATTTGTTGTTATTTTTTCATTGTTTACTTCTTAGGTACGGGTTGTGTTCTTGTTATCTGTTTCTGTTTTTTCTATGTCATTAGTATCCATCTCTCTCTCTCTCTTCTTCTCTCTCTCTCTCCTCTCTCTCTCTCTCTCTCTCTCTCTCTCTCTCTCTCCTTCTCTCTCTCTCTCTCTCTCCTCTCTTCCCCTCTTCTTTTTTTTCATAACTTGTTTTTAAACTTCATGAGGAGGATAATGGTAATGATGACTGTGATTTTGGTGATGATGCTCATGGTGATGATAATGATAACGATAGATGATAACAAAATTATAATAATGGTGATAATAATGAGAATGATAATATGTGATGATCATAATGGTAATAATCATGATAATAGTCATAATGATAATGATAAGCGTAATAAAAAAATTATAATAACAATGGTAATAATAATGACAACAAGTACAAACAACAAATGTGACAACAATAAAAATAATAAGAGAAAGGTAAAAAAAAAAAAAAAATGAAAGTCCCCCTTCAAATCCTGTGACCCAACATCATCATAGAAAACGGGAATCGAACGCAATCTAAGCAAGTTTTTTTTTTTTCTTCTTTTTTTTTCTTTTTTTTTTTTGCGTTAGGGGACCAGCTGATAGGAAAATAGGGATCTAAAGAGGTCTTATTAAGCCCCAGACGAAGGGAGGATGGCAAGAGGGCTTCGCAAATTGCTATCAATGCTCTTGGTTGGGCAACTGACCCGCAAAAACTCTTCACTGCTCTTTCGTTTGTCTGTTTATTTCTTTTATTTATTTATTTACTATTTTTTGGTTTACATTTACACGTCTAAATTCTTTTTTAATATTTATATTTTTTTTACTCAANACCTCCTTCCCTGCCCCGAAGAAAGCGGGTTTAGCGCCCGGCCCTTTCATTATCCCAGTTATCCGGTTCAGTTATTATTTCAATTCACATCTAACATCGATCCATGATTGCCGAGCGAAGGCGTTTCTCGCACGCTGGCTTGCTGGCTTCGGGCTTCGAACTGCAGGCGTGGGGAAGGGATGCAGAGGTATATGTGTGTATGTTAGATGTACGTAGATCTACATATATGTAAATATATGTGTGATATATATATATATAGTATATATATATATATATTATATATATATATATATATATATGTTATATATATATATATATATATATATATATGTATATATATATATATATATATGTATATAAATATATGTATATATATTATATATATTAAATAATATATATATATATATATATAGTATATGTATGTATATATATAAGTAATATTACTATATATATATATATATATATACATGTATATATATATATATACTATATATTACATATACTATACATATATATACATATTATTATACATTACTTATTATATACATATATATTACATATATATATACATTATATATACATATATATTATTATATATATACATATATATACATATAATATATACATATACATATATATACATATATATATATACATATATATACATATATTACATATATATACATATATATACACATAATATATATATATAGCATATATATATTTATATATATAATATATATACTTATTATACATCATATATATATAGTATATATATATATATATATATATAATATATATTTATTCATATGTATATATATATATATATATATATATATATATATATATATAATATATATATATATATATATATTATAATATGTATATATATACTATGATACAATATTGTTTATATCTAAAATATGTTATGATAATGTGTATATATATATATAATAATAATATATATAATATATATATTATATAGTGTACATATTGTTTTTATCTAAATATATGTGTATGTATATTATATATATTATAATATATATATTATATATATATATAATATATATATAATATATGTCTCTATTTGTGGGTTCTTGTTTGGTCTGTGTATTTATGTGATTTGTCTCATTCTGTCTCTTTTCATACCCTCTTTTTTCCGCGCATTTTCTTTTTTTCTCCCTCCCTATTCTCTGTTTCTTCTCCTTCTCTCCTCTCCCCTCCATCCCTCGGACACTCCCCTCTCACTTCACACTCTCCTCCTCCTCTTCACTCCACCTCCCTCACACCCTCACACGCCCACACCAGCCTCCTCCCGGGCGCCCGCAGAGCAACACACACACCCCCACTCACGTACACCCACACGCACTCCAACTCCCTCCAACCGCTATTTACATTTCGCTCCATACAATATATAAATAAACACACAGACATCTTTTTTTTTTTCCTCGACTCCACCCTACCTCTCCCCCCCCCTTTCTTCGGAGTGGGGAACACCATTACATTTCTGTTTGTTGTATGTAAATACGGGGAGAGAGAGAGAGAGAGGGATGGGTTTATTCAGCTGGTAAAGCCGGGTTGGGTAAGCAGGCTTGGCAGAGAGATAGGCCGGGAACCCACGTGCAGAAAATGGTAGATAATGAGTGGGTGGGTGGAGGTGGTAGTGTGTGGTT